GGGACCTTGGGAGCATCATCATCAAAAGTGGTGACGTCATCAATGGAAACATTCTCATCGTCATCTTCATCTTCACCTGACATGTTGCCAACATCAGCGTCCTCATCACCTCTATCTCTATCAACTGCATCACCAGCTGGGGAGTCGTCATAGTCAACTCGCTCCTCATCACCCAGAACAGCTGAAGATTCCAGAAGACTTGCACCAGCGGCTGGTCTTTTCATAAGTCCCGTTGTAGGACTAGGCATTAAATCATCAGCTTGTGACATTAATGCTGAAGGAGAAGGAGGTGGATTATCTTCGAGACCCCCTGGCTCCAACGCAGGAGACCTAGGAAGATCCATCACCGGAGCAGATTCTGCATCTGCAACCATTAATTCATCTTCTTCGTCCTCAGGAGGATGATAAGAAGAACCTTCACCCGACAGAGCTGGACCATGAGAGCGAAGTCCCGCTCTATGCGGCAGGCCAGCCACAGATGATTCCTGTGGTTCGTCATCTTTAGCAGCTTTAATGGCCTCAGCCATCAACTTGGATTTTTGTTGGCCTCTGGGGGGAGAATCCACCAGCAACTTTCGACGGATCTGCTTATCATACTGGCCAGCTTCATCAGCAGAAAGTTTTCTTTTTCCCGCTGCTCTTGTCATAGGAGGATCAGCCGCTCGTTGTTCTTCCACTGGAACGGGCTCAGCTCCTTGTTCCTCTTCCTGTTCGGCAGGTTGACTCTCAATGGATAGAAACTCATCGATCCCCCTCAAGCGAGACGTCTTAGACCCCTTTCTTGAATTATACATATGCCTAATGTCCTTCAGGCAAGATGTATTCAAGTTGAAGTTGGGAGTCTGAGAAGCAGCGTAATACCAATTGCAGAAGCTGATGGAGGTATAGGAATTAGCAGTTTTGTGGGGAAGCTTGAAGATGGCTTTGGTACAACCTGCCACAGAATAATACCAAGCCCTGGCTCCTTCATATAAGTTGGCTATAACTGAGAGTTGAGGACGAGGGTTCCCGACATACAACTGATCATACCCAAATTGGCGAG